TCAAAGAGGACGGAACCTACGAGAAGATCGCCTCTTTCCACGGCAAGCCCGGTAAATGCAAAGACAGCGCCGGCCGTACTGTTGCCTGCTGCGTCCACGGCATGCCAACCTTCCCTGCTTGGCACAGACTCTACGTGGAACAGGTACATTTTTTGGCGTTGATTATGTAGGTCATTAAATCGTTATTTAATTTAGTTACCAACTAAAACTCCAGTCAACACGTAACGAACATTCCATCCCTTGCTAGAGAGCTGTTAAAACTATATTGGCTAATGATGTGACATTACTCATCACCAGGTCGAGGAAGCCCTTCTTGGTCGTGGTTCATCAGTCGCTGTACCTTACTGGGACTGGACCACCGCCTTCACCAAGTTGCCCGACCTCATCAACCAGGCCACTTACTTCAACTCACGTCAACAGAGGTTTGAGCCCAATCCTTTCTTCAGCGGTTCTATCGCTGGTGAGGGAGCTGTCACCACAAGGTTAACACTCATTTTCTTTCAAATAAGCCGTTTTTTGACATTATCGGTGTTCAGTAATATTTTAGCTAAATTGTTTACATTTGTATTTTTTGTATTTCAAATATAAAAAAAATAAATGTTTTTTTGATTTACTGAATTAAAATTATATATGAAGTTAAAACTTTTAACAGCAGTGCTTATAAGCAAATATTAAAAAGTAACCCACAGAAATGAAACGGCCGATTAGCTGAGTTCATGATTCCTAATGATGCGATCGCTTTAATTTCAAACAATGTCTGTCCCCAGGGATCCTCAGCCTGAACTCTTCAACAACGACGACTTGTACGAGCAGGTCCTCTACGCTCTAGAACAGGACCACTTCTGTGACTTTGAGATCCAGTTTGAGATCATCCACAACGCCCTCCACTCCCTGCTTGGAGGCCGTGCCCAATACTCTCTGTCGTCCCTCGACTACTCAGCTTTTGACCCTGTATTTTTCCTCCACCATGCCAACACTGACAGGTTTGTTGGGAACTTTTTCCTTTATAAGATAGTTTGGACTGACAATCAAGCTTAAATAGTCAATAAAATTACACAAAATAAAATTTTAAAAATCTATTGAACAACACTATTTCCAAACAATGTTAATTGAATCTTATAAATATATCGACTATGTCTTTGAATCAAAGATCTCTTTTAAATAAATAAATTTTTACAGTAAGAAATTAAACCTAATGAAAGTATTTGAGAGTGTTCTTGAAAAAAATCGGTAACATAAAAAATATTTAAGATCACCAAATTAAAAATGAATTGTTCCCCCCTTTCTTCAGGATCTGGGCCATCTGGCAAGAGCTCCAACGTTACCGAGGACTTAAATACAACGAAGCCGACTGTGCCATTAACCAGATGAGGACACCCTTGAGGCCATTCAACAACGATGAACTCAACCACGGTGACCTGACCCACAGATACAGGTATGTGGAACATGATGACGCAGATGAATGTATTTGCCCAAGTCCTTGCTGTTGGTCAATTTGAAAGGAACGGTTAATACATAAATATTAATTTTAATGAGGAATTTCTGTTTCTATTGTGTAGTGATTGTTCTTCAATGGTGCATTGAGTTTGTTCGATTTTCACATTAAGTTCATGAACACTTCGGCCATGAAAATGGGTTTGCTTTGATTACGCCATGAACTATTTAAGCATTTATGTAACATTATTTTTCTTTCTTATGCAATCTCTGATGTAACGTGATGGAACTATCCTTTTGCAAGTCTCTTTAAATAAATGGTAGTATCAAGACATAGATAACTAGAATATTACAAGTGGGGCTATAAAAACATTCTGTCATCTTCATTTGTTTTGTTTTTTTCATAGCCGCCCAGCTGACACTTTCGATTACCGCAACCATTTCCAATACGAGTACGATACCCTGGAGTTCAACCACATGACCGTCCCTCAGTTGGAGGCCCTGCTCAAGAAGCGCAAGGAGTCTGGTCGCGTCTTCGCAGGTTTCCTCCTGCACAACATCGGTCTGTCCGCCGTGGCCAACATCTACGTGTGCGTCCCAAGTGGACCCAGGGGCAAGAAGAGCTGCAATCACCCGGTAGGTTATCCGAACATCAAGTCTCAAGAGTACAAGATGTTCGCATATAAAGCGCCATTAATACTTTGTGGTCCACATTTAAAGGAAGAAGACATCTTTGATTTCATATTTTTTTCCATTATAGCTTTTTAAAATAATCAATTTTAACATGTTTTTATTGTAGCCGTGAAAGGGATTAAATAGGATTCTTTTTGTTCGTAGCTAAAAGAATATTGGAAAAATTTTAGCCTAATACTTTTGGAAAACAAAGCTTAATATAGCGCACATTATCGTAAATTCAAGATTTCTCAATATTCAATAAACCTCTCTCTTGCTAATTTGTCAATAATTAGAAACACTTACAATATTCCATCTTCTCATTTCGGCTTTTTAAAATGTGGATATTGCATAAAGTACGTCATTTAACTAATCTTTGTTAGAGAGTTGTTTTGTACATTTTGCTTCTCTATTTTACATTATTTTATCATTTGACATTGTGCTCCAACAGGCTGGCTCCTTCTCCATCCTTGGAGGTGAACTTGAAATGCCCTTTGTGTTTGATCGCCTGTACAAGTACGACATCACCAAGACCGTCCGTGACCTTGGCCTCAAGCTCGACAACGCCGCCAACTTTGAGCTCAGGGTTGACATCAAGTCCGTCAACGGAAGCCTCCTGGACTCTGACATCCTTCCAAAGCCCACGATTTTGTTTGAGCCCGGAACAGGTAAGTCTGAGGACCTGTTGAGATGATCATTTTGAATTTTGGTATCAACAAAGCCGTACAGAAAAATATAAAATGACAACCACAGGTGTTACATATTTTTAAAAAAAAAACAGGAAAAGAAAATAGAGATTTTTTTTTAAAAATTCACATTTAAAATATATTCGTAAAAGCTGCATATCTATTAGCACCCTTGGTTCTAATACTGAGAAAAAAAAGACCTATTTAAATAAGTTGTATAAAAAAAGTATCCGCCCTAGCTAAATGTCCTATTGTTAAAGAGTGAAGAAGATCAGACAGTGCAAATTAAAAACCCAGAATTTATCTTTCAGTAACATTGCATTTTTTTTTCAAGGCGAAAGACAGAAGTCTTCTGGTGAGGTAACCAACTACCTGGTGAGGAAGGAGATCAACTCTCTGAGCCCCCGTGAAGTCCAGTCTCTGTACAGCGCCATGGAAGCCCTCCAGGCCGACAGCTCAGCCGACGGCTGGCAATCCATTGCCTCTTTCCACGCCATTCCCCCACTTTGCCCGAGCCCAAGTGCTGAAAACAGGTTGGGCATTTTATAAAGGCATTATGGGATTTGTATAAATCTAAGACCGTCCCTATGACAAATGGAAGTGTATGCATTTGATAAGACCGTCCCCATGACAAATGGAAGTGTATGCATTTGATAGGACCGTCCCCACGACAAATGGAAGTGTATGCATTTGATAAGACCCTCCCGAGACAAATAAATAGTGATTCAATTGTATCCGACCTTCTATGTCTATTGGATAATATATGAAGGACACTGCTCAAGACGTGTGAAATAAATAAATAGTGGAACAAGATGTGTTTAGGATTTGAAAAAAAAAACAGAGAGAAAAAACAAAAAAATATGTTTCTGCAAAATGTCTTCTTCAGCAGGCAATCCAAAACTAGAAAAACAAACCTTCACTTATAGGAAAAAAAATCCCAGTGACCTGTTCAGTTATTTCAAGCTTGTTGAAAATTTCGTTTTATATATATTAAAAGCCATGTGACATTGATATATTTTAAGCCTTGTGATAATGCTACATTTTAAAAACTTATCTGAAACTTTATAAAAGAAAAAAGAGAAACCGTAATTTTTCTTTCCTTCCAAAGGTACGCTTGCTGTCTGCACGGCATGGCCACCTTCCCACAATGGCATCGTCTCTACACTGTCCAGGTTGAGGATGCCCTCAAGCGCCACGGCGCCCTGGTCGGTATCCCCTACTGGGACTGGTCACGCGTCAGCGACTCTCTGCCCCACTTCATCGATGACGAGAACTTCGTGGATCCCGTCACCGGTGATCAGAAAGCCAACCCATGGAAGAAAGCCAGGATTGAGTTCGAGAACTCAGAGACTGAGAGAGAAGTCATTGTGAGTACCTTTCATAAAGAATTTCTTTTTAGAAAAAAAGTAAACTTAAAATTATACATGAAGATGTATGTATAAAATTAAAAAATAATGTATTTTTGCATTAGTACATTTGATACTCTTACAACTCAGAACTTGTTCGAAATTTAAGGAAGTATGTTTATCTTTGGTTTCGTTTTACTCAAAGTTTTAAATATTATTCCAATATGTCATGTTAACTTTAATAAGAAATTATCACTTTAGCGCCATTGTATTTTTTTTTTATTTCTTGACAAATTACATAGGTATTTTCAACGAAAACTATATTCTTTCAAGTAGCCCAATATTTGAATAACATATTGCATATTTAGTATAATTTATTCTTAGGACGTATTAATAATTAAAAACTCAGTCATGCAAAGTATGTACCCAATAGCGATATTTTGCACAATTATTGTAATAGGTACTTGTGGGTCAAAGAGTGATTTACATCAGAAAAATAGTTGTCGCATTATGCAATGAAGGCTTAGATATTCTTGTGCAAGTACTCATAATTTTCTAAGGATATCCATAAAAATAAATGCATTCTCCACAGTCTGACAGACTGTTTAAGCGTGGTCCACACGGATGGGACACCTGGCTGTTCAACCAGGCTCTGCTGGCCCTGGAGCAGGAAGACTACTGCAACTTTGAGATCCAGTTTGAGATCACCCACAACGCCATCCACTCCTGGGTCGGCGGCTCCAAAGAGCACTCCCTGGGACACCTCCACTACGCCTCATACGACCCTGCCTTCTTCGTCCACCACTCCAACACTGACAGACTCTGGGCAGTCTGGCAAGCTCTTCAGAAGTACAGAGGTTATGACCCCAACGAGGCCAACTGTGCTTTGGAGCAGATGAAGGTAGATCGAGGACTCTACAATACAATACAATTTTATTTTTAAAATTTAGTGTTTAAAATATATTAGTCAACAATTAGCCAAAGATTTTTTTTGAAAACCAATTTCTGTAAAAGTGAAGAAAGAACAATTAAAATAAATCAACGCACTGTTTTATCCAGGATCCATTGAAGCCATTCAGTTTCGGACCCCCCTATAATCTTAACCCTCTGACCAAAGAGTACTCTCGCCCCGAGGACACCTTTAACTATGCCGACCACTTCCATTACCGCTACGACAACCTGGAGTTTGTTGGACTCAGCATTCCCCAGCTGGACGCCTTCATCAAGGAGAGACATGAGCATGATAGAGTCTTTGCTGGTGAGTACATGAGTAGGACATAGTCTTTGCTGGTGAGTAAATGAGTATTATAGATTCTTTGCTGGTTAGTAGATTGTATGATATAGTCTTTGATGTTTAATGTCTCTGATGGTGAGTACATGAGTATAATGGAATTTTTGCTGGTGAGTACATGAGTATGATAGAATATTTGCTGGTGAGTACAGGAGTATAATGGATTCTATGCTGGTGAGTACAGGAGTATAAAAGTAGTTGAGCAAATCAGGACATAAATAGGGACATACTTAAAAAAGGAAACTGTAGTAAAATGTTGGACACCAAGTAAAGTAATAAAACTCTTACAGGGGTGAATCAATCGAATAATGTTCCCAGGGCTAAGAGAAGGACACATGCAGTAACTTTAGCATAGTTATGGAATTCTCGTGTTATATTAGAGTTTTTCTTCCAAAAATTGACATTTGTACAAGCAGTTTATAACTTTAAGCAATAATCTGAGTTTATTTATTTTTAAACTAAACTGTCATTAAATTGGGCTCTGCTCTTGAAAAATTAGAACAACATTGCTCCCGGCATACTTAAAACAACATTGCTCCCGGCATACTTAGAACAACATTGCTCCGGCATACTTAGAACAACATTGCTCCGGCATACTTAGAACAACATTGCTCCCGGCATACTTAGAACAACATTGCTCCGGCATACTTAGAACAACATTGCTCCGGCATACTTAGAACAACATTGCTCAGGCATAACACGTTCACATGGCTACATCGTTAAATTTACTTTTAATGTAGAAGAAATGCAAATCTTCTGCGATCATTTATGGATATCGACGTTATTATATGACCAAAGGACGTACGATGTTTGAAAATCAATCGAACATTATAAATATTTATATACATTTTTACATAAATTTTTTCAGGCTATAAACCAACAGGAATATTCATCGAGTAGTTTATCGATTACAAATCGTTTTCAAACTAGATTTCCATCAAGTGTGTTATGTTTAAATCCCCAGGTTTCCTGCTCAAGGGATTCAAGAAGTCTGCTTTGGTTGACTTCGACATCTGCGCCGATGGCAAATGTTTCCCAGGCGGTTACTTCACCGTCCTCGGTGGATCTGCTGAGATGCCCTGGCAGTTTGACAGACTTTTCAAATATGAGATCACTGATCAGGTGGGTAGTGGTTTTTGTTTAAATTTACATTTTTATTAACGCGCCCCGACTCCACTCATAAAAAGTGGTAAACAAACAATCTGAAATTACCACCCGTTTCTTTCGTCTGCCGTTAATGAAACAATAACTTAACAGGTTAGGGGGTTAAATTTTTTATGAAATAGATGGGAGATTTTTATAAAATGTTATAAAATGTAACCTTGTTCAACAATTTCCTAATTTTATGGAAATATAAATAACCTTCATGATATGTCTGGTTTTTTCTTGCTGCGCAGCTGAACGAACATAAGCTGAGATTTGACGACGAGTACACCTTCCAGATTAAAATCCGTGCGCCAGACGGCACTGAATTGAGCAGTGATTTGATTGCTACCCCCAGCGTAATTTTGGAACCCTTCAAACGTATGTCCGCGTGCTCCTGGCGAGCCTCGTTAAAAAATTGTATTTCCGGTTTCATTTATGTGAATTTGAAATAATCTATATATCAAAACTTCTAATTCATTAAAAAGAATGTAAGTTAGGACAAAATTTCATTAGGATTTTAAGAAAATATTCTGCATAGATGACAATCATTTACACATATTTACATAAACAAAAATTTTGAAATAAATATAAGAAAAGAATTGGTTCACTTTCACAAAAACAACACTAAACTGTTAAAAAAATCAACAACATTCGTAGTCTTACAGTAAAACATTCAAATCAGAATTGATAAGTAATTGAACGATCTAATTTTACAAAGAAATCTTTAACTTTATTTCAGATGACTATGACCTTGAAAAGGTCACCCCCAACTTTGTGCGTCGCGACCTCTCGACACTCACCGAGCGTGACCTTCAGGGACTGAAATCCGCCCTACGCGACCTTCAGCTGGACGAGAGTGCCGACGGCTGGTCCAGTCTCGCCTCATTCCACGGTGCCCCCAGCAAGTGTGAGAATGAAAGTGGTGCCAAGGTCGCCTGCTGCATTCACGGCATGCCCACCTTCCCCCACTGGCACAGGCTGTTCACCGTACAGGTAAAAAATTGGCAATGAAATTATGTAATTATAATATATCACCAATATATTTCCTTCTTTACTCAAATATGGCCAAAAAAAAAAATAATAATAATAAAAAATCCAATATTTAAAAATCAAATACAGCAAATCAAGGACTTCATTTTATTTTAAACTTTGTGACATATGATATTTTGAATGCTTCGATGTATAGTCTATTTTAAAAAAAGCAACAACTCAAAAACTCATTTATGTTTAGTGACAAATGAAGAAGATAGAAATAAATTTCTGAAAGTAAGTTTAAAATAATTTGTGTCAATTTCCTTTTTCATTGTTCGTACTTACCTATGAATTGATTAGACTTGTATTTTTTTTTCTTAAACTTAGGTTGAGCGTGCTCTCCAGAGACACGGAAGTGCCGTCGCCATTCCATACTGGGACTGGACCAAACCAATCACCGCCCTGCCAGAGATCTTCACCAAGGAGGACTTCTACGATGCCTGGAGAGATGAGGTGAGTCACCTGTAATTTTAACCTAAGTTTACCTTAACCTGCTTCTCGTACAGTAATATATTTAGTTAATTTATAAAGATGATATGATGCCATTAAGACACGAACTATTTTCTTTATTTCACAGGTTGTTGACAATCCATTCGCTCGCGGATTTATCCCAACTGAGAACACTTACACAGTCCGTGACGTCAGACCCGAGCTGTTCGCCACGTCCAAAGATGGAAGCCACTCTGACCTCTTCGAGCTCGTGCTCTCTGCCCTCGAGCAAACCGACTACTGCGACTTTGAGGTCAGCAAACAAGCTTTTAGTTTTATATATTAAAATCCCACGATGAGAATAATCTTTAGTGTTCGACAACGTAGACCCTTTTAGAGACACAAGTCAATTCTTCTGTGTAATATTTTCATAGTTTACTTGTTCAAGACAAACGCATTGTTGATTCAAGTCGGTTCTGAGAATCCCATTTATCATTGTAAATAATTACCAAACACAATTATTCACCAAACACAAGTTAATCTCAAACGCATTTCAATTTTTTTGATAACATTTGAAGAAATATATTTTCTGTTTAGGTCCAATTCGAGGTAATGCACAATGCTATCCACTACTTGGTGGGAGGTCTGCAGACCTACTCCCTGTCTTCCCTGGAGTACTCCGCCTACGATCCAATCTTCTTCATCCATCACTCCTTCGTGGACAAGATCTGGGTCGTGTGGCAAGAGCTCCAGCAGAGAAGACACCTGCCCTCCAACACCGCCAACTGCGCCCTCAACCACTTGGCTGAGCCCATGAAGCCCTTCAACCTTGACCTCAACATCAACGCTTTCACAAAGTGAGTCGCCGTTATTAAAACGATTCAGTCGTGCTAATAAATTAAGTCTGTTTGCATCAATGGGAAGCATCTTTAATGAAAGACAGAGTCATACTTATTCTGATTGTTTCTTCTTTTAAATTGTTTCTTCTTTTAAATTGTTTAAATTGAAAAAACAAATTTTATCTTAGGAAACACGCAGTTCCCAGAGACGTGTTCAACCACGAGGAACTCGGCTACCATTACGACAACTTGAACATCGGCGGCTACAATCTAGACCAACTCGAGCAGCTCATCGCCCAGCACAAGAGCCGCCCCAGAGTGTTTGCCGGATTCCTGCTCAAGGGAATCAAGACTTCCGGATCTGTTGTATTGAACGTTTGCAAGGTTGGTAAAAAGAAAACTCTCTGAAAGTTCATAAAGAATTAAATATAAATATTGTTTAGGATTTAGTAAATATCGTTTAACGAGTTTTACAAGATAAATTATATGCATCATATTAATCCTGACCCCCCCCCCAGGGCTCTCAATGCACATACGCCGGGCGCTTTAACCTACTCGGTGGACCCTCTGAGATGCCGTGGGCTTTTGACCGTCTCTACAAGAAAGACATCACCTGGGCTCTGGAGGCTGCCGACATCAAGCCTGAAAGCGTGTTCGATGCCGACTCACTCTTCACCCTGGATGTCAAGGTCTTTGATGTTGAAGGTCACGCTATCAATGTCAAGTCGGTCTTCCCAACTCCAAGCATCATATACGACCCTGCTACAGGTAGAGTCTAATCATGCATAAGATATTTTTTACTATATATATAAGAATTTTGTTTGACACAAATTGTTTTTTCTACAATCCAATGTCTTCAAATACTACAAAAAAACACACACTAATTTGATAATGAGACTAAACAACATATCGGCAAGCTTAATACCCATATAATTTACACATTCACCCGATGGCTAAGGACGTTTGGGGATTTATTTCCATCCAAGCATTTTACAATCATCTTGTATAATTACCGAAACCCAGTTTGCTAAGCATGGTATATTTACCAGTTTAACTTGATAGCATTTTTAGCTCTTTAATCCAAAATCTTTAAAGAATACAAAAAAACACGAGTTTGTTCATTAAAAAACAACAACCTATTCGACATCTCAATTGCTACATAATTCAAAAAGCCACATGGGGGCAAGGGGGTGTGTGTCTTTTTTGTTCTTTTCAAGAGACTTACAATAATCCTAAACACAACTACCGGGCACCATTGTGATAAGCACAATAGAAAAAAGCTGTTTAAACACATTTAAAAAAAAAATAGGTTAAAATGTAATTTTATTGACCTTTCTGAAAAGCTGAACAACATTTTCTCCCCCTCACCTTAAAAAAACAACAACTGTTGCTGATAGTGACTTAGTAAGATACGTGATTATTATTTTTTTTCTGTGCGTTAGGTGTTGCCAACGTTGACGTCACAAGTTCTGTTGCTGGCGTTGGTGTCCGTAAAGACGTCTCATCCCTCACCGCGTCTGAAACCGAGAGCCTCCGCAACGCCC